AGTGTTACGATCCCCTCTTGGACAACCTTGATTGGCTTGTGCCAGAGTCTTTGCAGTTCGATCTTTAAATCCTCGTATCGTGTCAGCTTGTATTATTATTATTATTATTATTATTATTATTATTATTATTATTATTATTTATATCCCGCTTTCTCTCTCCCGAAGGAGACTCAAAGTGCCTTAACGTAAAAGCATCCACATACAATTTAAAATATACTATTATTATATTTATATTAAATATACAATCCCACCACTATCGCAAACACGGTTGATGGGGACGAGGGACAGGGCCTTCTCAGCAGTGGCCCCTGCCTATGGAACGCCCTCCCTAGAGATATCAGATTGGCCACCTCCTTCTTGTCTTTTAGAAGGAAAATCAAGACCTGGTGATGGGACCAAGCGTTTGATCAGTGAGCAGCAAGTGGAAGAAGATCACACAACTTATGGCAATGAATTGACCCGGACTGGTTTTTGGATTTCGATTTTAATGGATGTGTCTTAATTAATTATTTGAATTGTTGTTTCAATATTTTTAATATTTTTATTGTACTGTGGTTGTTTTTATGATGCTAGCATCGTATGATGCTTTTCGTAAGCCGCCCTGAGTCCCCCTTCGGGGGGAGAAGGGCAGGGTATAAATATAGGAAACAAACAAATAAATCAATATTATTATTTGATACACAACCAGATTAGTACAAAGCAAACAAGATCTCTATGCTGGCTGTTGTATTGGATCACACGTCAGATACTTTCCAAGTGTCTAGGACTATGTGATGTAATGGCAAATAATGTGTGCAGATATGCAGCTCACAGGTGATGTATCAGTGAATAATGTGGCGTTTTGCAGCTAACAGGTAGTGATTATGTCAGCACTGATTGTTTTTAAGTGCAGGCCAAGGTTTTTAGTCACTGCACCCAGTGTGCCAGTCACCACTGGGACCACCTTGACTGGCATGTGCCAGAGTCTTTGCAGTTCCATCTTTAAATCCTCATATAATAGAATCATAGAATCAAAGAGTTGGAAGAGACCTCATGGGCCATCCAGTCCAACCCCCTGCCAAGAAGCAGGAATATTGTATTCAAATCACCCCTGACAGATGGCCATCCAGCCTCTGTTTAAAAGCTTCCAAAGAAGGAGCCTCCACCACACTCCAGGGCAGAGAGTTCCACTGCTGAACGGCTCTCACAGTCAGGAAGTTCTTCCTCATGTTCAGATGGAATCTCCTTTCTTGTAGTTTGAAGCCATTGTTCCGAGTCCTAGTCTCCAGGGCAGCAGAAAACAAGCTTGCTCCTTCCTCCCTGTGGCTTCCTCTCACATATTTATACATGGCTATCATATCTCCTCCCAGCCTTCTCTTCTTCAGGCTAAACGTGCCCAGCTCCTTAAGCCAGTCCTCATTGGGCTTGTTCTCCAGACCCTTGATCATTTTAGTCGCCCTCCTCTGAACACATTCCAGCTTGTCAATATCTCTCTTCAATTGTGGTGCCCAGAATTGGACACAATATTCCACGTGTGGTCTAACCAAAGCGGAATGGAGGGATAGCATTACTTCCCTAGATGTAGACACTGTGCTATTATTGATGCAGGCCAAAATCCCATTGGCTTTTTTTGCTGCCACATCACATTGTTGGCTCATGTTTAACTTGCTGTCCACGAGGACTCCAAGATCTTTTTCACACGTACTGCTCTCGAGCCAGGCATTGTCCCCCATTCTGTATCTTTGCATTTTGTTTTTTCTGCCTAAGTGGAATATCTTGCATTTCGTGTCAGCTTTTCCAGTTGCTTATAACAATTTTAATATTATAATATAATAGTTCCAATAATAATAATAATAGGGCAAGCTGACACGATACGAGGATTTAAAGATTGAACTGCAAAGACTCTGGCACAAGCCAGTCAAGGTGGTCCCAGTGGTGATCGGCACACTGGGTGGAGTACCTAAAGACCTTGGCCTGCACTTAAACACAATTGGCGCTGAGAAGGTTATCATCTGCCCGTTGCAAAAGGCCACCTTATTGGGATCTGCACGCATTATTTGCCGATACATCACACAGTCTTAGACACTTGGGAAGTGTGCGACATGCAATACAACAACCAGCAGAGTGTTTGCTATGGACTCATCTTGTTGTGTTAATAATAATAATAATAATAATAATAATAATAATAATAATAATAATAATAATAAATCACACAGTCCTAGACGCTTGGGAAGTGTTCGACTTGTGATTTTGTGATACGAAATCCAACATATAGATCTCGTCTGCTGTGACATACTTATTTTTGTGTCAAATAATAATAATAATAATAATATTCTAGGTATCAGTGAACAGTCTGACATTAAGCCTAATGGAAGGAGACTGGCAGGGCCTCCTGACGGATGGGCTGAAAATATAATGTTTATCTGCAACCATGACTTTAAAAGAACCAATGTTTGTGCCTTATGTTGAGAGGGCCATAGGTTATCTCTGTGATGTAGAACTGACTATGCATGCAGTTTGCCTGCTTGTAACAAGGGAAGGTATCTAAAGAAAAGAATTCGTATTGTTAAGGGCTCTGACTTTTGGAAAGGATTTTCATCCAAGTCTGACCAAGTCTGGAAAATAAACTGTGTTCCTTCAAGCCTCAGAAAGGTCTCGGTGGCTCTGTCTCCGTCCATATCACATGGACGGCAAAGCAGCAAACACACAAGGCCTGGATCACCGCCGGAGGCAAGACACTAAATGCCCGGATTTGTTGTGCCTTGGCATAAAAATATTCTGCATTTCTGCACCAGACACCTAGATATGCCTTTGTTTGCGACTGGGGTTAATTGCATTCTTCCTGGTCTCCCTTGTTTACTTCTGCTTTCCATCGATGAGTGCTTCTAGAGCAGGCTTGGGCCAACTTGGGCCCTCCAGGTGTTTTGGACTGCAACTTCCACAATTCCTAACCGCCAGTAGGCGGTTAGGAATTGTGGGAGTTGCAGTCCAAAACACCTGGAGGGCCCAAGGTGACCCATGCCTGCTCTAGATGCACTCATCGATGGAAAGCAGAAGTAGCAATGTAGAACAAATGCATTTTGGCACCACAAACCACACCTGGCAGTTCAAGTGATATCAAACCGCAGTGTGCACGCACCCTCTGTGCCTGTTCATGGCAATTATTACAGACCCGTTTCCGAGCGCTAATCCTGCCCTAGAAGAGCTTCACAAACTTATCGACTTGATATGTAATCCTGCGAGGCCAGTGCAGCTTGGAGACAGAGAGAGAGGGAGATTGCAAACAAGCCATGCAGGGAGTTTCGGATGCCAAGGAGAGGCCTAGAGCTGGCTCTCCAAACTCTTTCCAGAACCAGCAAAGTCCCTTGCAAATAGGAGCCTTTTGCTGAAGCAGGCATTTTTCGCACGGCTGAATCAAATCCCACATTATTATCTGCTTTGAACCGGAATAGATGGCAGTGTGGACTCAGATAACCCAGTTCAAAGCAGACACTGTGGGATTTTCTGCCTTGATTATCTGTGTGGAAGGGCCCTAAGAGTCTCTCCAGCAAGCAAACTGTCTCTTACAAATAGGGGCCTTTTGTATTGTCGAAGGCATTCATGGCCAGAATCACTGAGTTGCTGTGAGTTTTTTGGGCTGTCTGGAGATGTTCCAGAAGCATTCTCTCCTGACGTTTTGCCTGCATCTATGGCAGGCATCCTCAGAGGCTGTGAGGCTTAAGCAAAGTACTAAGACACAGCGCTGACCCCAGCTGAACCAATGGCAGGAAAAGGATGTCTCTCTTTGGGTGTTTCTGATAAGCAAGGTGCATGACACAGAGAATCATAGCATAAGAACAGTCCTCTAGAGCAGGCATGGGCCAACTTTGGCGCTCCTCTAGGTGTTTTGGATTTCAACTCCCACAATTTCTAGCAGCTTCAGGCCCTTTCCTTTTTCTCCTCAGCTGCTCCAGCTGAGGGGGGGGGGAGGGGCCTGAAGCTGCTAGGAATGGTGGAAGTTGAAGTCCAAAAGACGTGGAGGGCCAAAGTTTGCCCATGTCTCCTCTAGAATTATCTAGTCCAGTTTCTCACCTGGAAGGGTTGCCAGAGGGTGTCAGAGAGGTCGCCAAAGACCATCAGAAAACTCAGTATTTTTTGTTGGTCATGAGGGTTCTATGTGAGAAGTTTAGCCCAATTCTGTAGTTGATGGGGTTCAGAATATTCTTTGGTTGTAGTTGAACTATAAATCCTAGCAACTACAACTCCCAAATGTCAAGGCCTACTTTCCCCAAAGTCCACCGGTGTTCACATTTGGGCCTATTGAGTATTCATGCCAAGTTTGGTCCAGATCCATCATTGTTTGAGTCCACAGTACTCTGTATGTAGGTGAACTACAACTTCCAAACACAGGCCAATGCCCACCAAACCCTTCCAGTATTTTCTGTTGCTGATGGGAGTTCTGTGTGCCAATTTAATTTCAATTAACTTGGTGGAGTTCAGAATGCTCTTTGATTGTAGGTGAACTATAAATCCCAGCAAACTACAATGATAAAATCAGTCCCGTCCCCCCCTCCAAACCACACAGTATTCAGATTTGGGCATATTCGGTATTTGTGCCAAATTGGGTCCAGTGAATGGAAATACATCCTGCATATCAGATATTTATGTGATGATTCGTAACAGTAGCAAAATTACAGTTATGAAGTAGCAACGAAAATAATGTTATGGTTGTGGGTCACTACAACATGAGGAAGTGTATTAAGAGTCGTGGCATTAGGAAGGCTGAGAACCATTGTTCTAGAGCAGTGGTTTTCAACCTAAGGTCCCCAAATGTTTTTGGCCTACAATTTCCGGAAATCCCAGCCAGTTTACAAGCTGTAGGATTTCTGGGAATTGAAGGCCAAAAACGTCTGGGGACCCCAGGTTGAGAACCACTGCTCTAGAGTCATCTAGTCCAACCCTTTCAATGAGTGTGAAAACTTGCAAAGTGTAGCTAGCTATCTACAAAAGGGAAAGATGATGAGAACGTATGTGTCCCTTACCTCCGTCGGAATAGGTCTCGGTCCCATAGCCATCCTGCAGGCCGTTGCTCCAGGTGCCTTCGTACTTGGCCCCATTGCCGGTGCACTCGCGTACCCCGTAGCGTCCCTTAAATCCATGCGTCCACTCGCCTTTGTACACCCACTTGCCTTTGCTCTCCAGGCCGATGCCATGGCGCTTGCCCTGGGCCCAGGTGCCCTGGTAGGTGTTCCCGCTCGGCCAGGTGTAGACCCCCAGCACTTCAAATCCGTGGCTCCAGGAGCCTGCATACTCGCCTTGGCCCTTGGGGCCGGTGCATATTCCGTGGCCGTGCGCCTTGCCGTCCTCCCAGCCGCCACAATAGGACCCTCCATCATCAAAATTAAACCTTCCCCCACTGGACATGCATGTAACTCGGTTTGCAAATGCTCAAAAAGGTGAAAAGAAAAAGGCGGCGGTAGGGGAAGGAGGAGGAGGAGGAGATCCACCAGCAAAAACAAAAACAAAAAATATCCCCCCAAAAAATCCAAGAAAAGAGCACACCACCTTAAATAATGCACCAAAATCGAAGAGATGCCGGAGTCAATTCTTGCTCTTTGCACATTCTGTGTGTCCGGCCTTTTGCCTTCCTGCTGTATCCAACCCAAGCAGGAGGGATGATAGGATGGAAAGCAGCAAACCAGGCCTTTGTGGGTGCAAAGGGGTCTCCTTTGAAAGCATAGGAGGAGGCCGAGAAGAAGAAGAGGCCAAAGAAGAAGAAGGAAAAAGAAGGATCCTTAGGAGCCAAGATTGCCCATAGACCCAAGGCAAAGGAAGGTCTCAAATCCCCTTTGGTGACCTCCACCTGCTGCTGTTTTGATGGTGAAATGGATCAACTCGTCCAATCCCGAGCAGCATCTTGACGGTTTTGGCGTATGTGTGTGTGTGTGTCTGTGTGTGCAAGAGAGAGAGTGAGAGAGTGTGTGTGTTTTCTGGGGAGATTCCTGTAACAGCAGCAATGCAGTGCCTGTGACTGCCTCAATCTCACGCACATTCGCTCCCTCTCATCGCCATCTCCTCTATCGCACACGCACGGCACACAGCCGCACACCTACACACCTCGGCATGCATACATGCCTGCGTACATGCAAGGCGGAGATGGGCGCATCCTTTCTTGGACCCCAACCCACCCTCACCCCCAACCCTTGAAGGCTTTCGCCCCACTGGTCTTTCCCACTCACTCACTCCCCACTCACTCCTCCTTTGTTAGGCCCCCTGCACATTTTGGGGGGCTCCTTGGAGAAGGGCTTGGCCCCTTCTGCGGATGGAGAAGATGCAGGAGCAAGGATGCAAAAAGAGGGTGGATGGGTTGGATCTCCTGTTGGCTCCTCTCCGCCAAAGGGAAAAAGATGCAGAAGGAAGAATGCAAAAAGAGGATGGGTGATGGCTTGTTGTAGCTCCAGGCTGGGAGGCGGGTGGCAGCCCCTTGGCATCCCCCAGCTCGCTTCCCCTTCGCTGCCGCCTTCTTCTTCCCAAAAGGATGTCAATCTTGCTTATTAAGAGGAACAGATCCTAGCTCTTCTCGCTCTCTCAAGCTCTCCTCTCTGCCTCCCTCCCTTTCTCTCTCTCTCTCTGTGTCTCAGCGCAAGCTCCTTGGATTTAAAGGTACAGGAGCTGCGCAAGACACCATTCCATTCAGAGCATTTCTTCCTTGGAGAACAGGAGGCCAAAGCATCCACCCCAGTAGGCTTCCCAGAAGGCCCCTAGCCAATAAATAAATAAATAAATAAATTGGGAGGGGTTGAAATTCCCCACCACCACTATCACCACCACCAGATGACTTTGGAGGTCAGTGTCTCCTGATCAACAAGGCCCTGAAATGGCCATCATTATGCAAAGGTTCTTCAAAGGTAATCATTGGTCCTGAATCATTGCTCCCTCTTGAAGCCTGTTCTTGTCGGCCACAAAGGACAATTGTTTCCACAATTGGAATCTATTGTCCTTTGAAGATTCCAATTTCCAAAAGAAGTTTCTTCCTGATTTCTTCTTATTTCTTTTCTCATGGGGTTCCATCAAGACATTCCCACTGTGAATTAGCAAAAGGAGTTTCCAGCCAAGCACAAGGTGTTCTGATGGGACTCTGCTTTTTAATGCCCATTGAGTAATAATAATAATAATAATAATAATAATAATAATAATAATGTAATAACTTTATTTTTATACCTTGCCAACCATCTCCCCTTGGGGACTCGGGGTAGCTTACAAGGGACACGCCCAAGATTACAATTAAAATACACATGTAAAACACTTTAACCAATTGAAACAACAGATAAAACAAATAACAACACAATTGAAAGCAATATAAAAACATCACGGCTGAAAGAAACATAGCTGAGGTACAGATTTAATGAGTGCAATACATTTTTACAGGAGCGCAGGAAAGTGCAACAATATAGTAAACTGGGCAGGATATACTGTCATAACACATGTTGAGGTAGAACATATGCCAGTGTAAAATGCAGGCCGGTGTAAAGTGTGGAACTTCAAGTAGGGACAAGAAAGTTACTGGTGAGCTGCTTAGTCAAAAACACACTGGAGCATCCAGTTTTTAGTTGACTATGAAAGGAGGACAAGGTGGGAGCCTGTCTGATCTCCCTAGGGAGAGAGTTCCAGAGGTGGGGGCCCACCACCGAGAAAGCTCTCTCCCTCATCCCCATCAACCGTGCATGTGACGGCAGGGGGGGGGGGGGAGAGAGCAGTGCCTCCCCAGAAGGTCTTGAGAAAGATCTCTTGAAAACGGCCCGGAAATTTTAGTTGGTTCAACGGGTGGCGGCCAGGTTGTTAACTGGTGCTCCTTACAGGGAGAGGTCAACCCACCTGTTTAAGGAGCTCCATTGGCTGCCGTTCATTTTCCAGGCCCAATTCAAGGTGCAGGTGCTTACCTACTCAGCCCTAAACAGTTTGGGACCCATCTACCTGCGTAACCGCATTTCCATATACGAACTCACACAATCTCTTCGTTCACCTGGAGAGGCCCTGCTCACGATCCCACCTGCATCGCAAGTGCGATTGGTGGGAACGAGGGACAGGTCCTTCTCGGTGGCGGCCCCTCGACTCTGGAACTTCCTCCCCAAGGACATCAGGCATGCCCCAACTCTAGCAGTCTTTAGAAGGAGCTTGAAAACGTGGATATTCCAGTGTGCCTTCCCAGAATAAGGAATCCCAAGCAATATGTCCCAAATGCACTTTACGAGAGATTTAGGTTTGTCTGCACACCCATCTATCCCTAAAATATCCATCCTATTTCACTTTGACATGCCCAGCATTTTAAAAAATTTAATCATTACATTTGGCCCAGCCACAGGTTTTTAAATGCATCATGATATTATTGTTATTGTTATTGTATTGTTGTCGTTGTGTTTTATTGTTGTTGTATTTGGGCTCGGCCTCTTGTACGCCGCACCGAGTCCTGCGGGAGATGGCAGCGGGGTATAAATAAATTATTATTATTATTAGTAGTAGTAGTCTTAGTAGTAGTAGTTACGCACTGGTTCATAGGGGAAGATGCGATCACGAAGATAAGCATTGAAGACTTCGATTGCATTTTTCCATCGCACCAATGGCAAATAGAAGAAGAAAAGTGGAGGCAGCAACAGACTTTGTATTTCTAGGCATCAAAATAACTGCAGACACAGACTGCGGCCAGGAAATCAGAAGACGTTTACTTCTTGGGAGGAGAGCAAAGACCAATCCTGATCAAAGAATGAAGAGTAGAGACATCACACTGGCAACAAAGATCCACACAGTGAAAGCAATGGCATTCCCCGTAGTGACCTATGGATGTGAGAGGTGGATCATAAGGAAGGCTGAGCGAAGGATAAGAGATGCTTTTGAACTGTGGTGCTGGAGGAAAATGCTGAGTTAGGGCTGTCCAACCACGGAAAAATTTGTTTCTAAATTCGATTAGTTTTTAGGGGGGTTTTGCATTTCGTTTTTTAAAAGAATTCTGAAATTTTTCTTTTAAAAAGTTCGATATTTACGAAATTTCGGAAATTACGAAACAATTTCGAAACAATAACGAATCGATTCGTTAATGGTGGACGCATTTGCACAATATGCTAAAAACCCTCCAAATGGGACAGGGGGAACTTCTGAAGCTTCCCTCTCCCTCTGTTGTTGACTGTTGGTGTGATAATTTTTTTTTATCACTGATAAAACAAACAACGACTATAAAACTTGCACCAGACATACGGAAATAATAACGAAACAGTTACGAAACAATTTTGAAACAATTACGAAACGAATTGGAAAAATTCGTATTGTTTTTTAGTTGCTCCTGAATGGTTCAATATCGCTTCGTTATAAAAAAAATAACGAATTAATAACGAATTACGAAATTAACGAACGAAACCGCCCAGCCCTATGCTGAGTGCCTTGGACCGCCAGAAGATCCAACCAGTCCATTCTCCAGGAAATAATGCCCGGCTGCTCACTGGGGGGAAGGATATTAGAAGCAAAGATGAAGTCCTTTGGCCACATCATGAAAAGACAGGAAAGCTTAGAGAAGAGAATGATGCTTGGGAAAATGGAAGGAAAAAGGAAGAGGGACTGACCAAGGGCAAGGTGGATGCATGGTATCCTTGAAGGGACTGGCTTGACCTTGAAGGAATTGCGAGTGGCCACGGCCAACAGGGAGCTATGGCCTGGTGTGGTACAGGAGGGCACTAAGAGTCGGAAGCGACTGAGAGACTAAACAACAACAACACCAATGGTTTAGCAACTAATGCAGCAAGCTTTTGATGACCACCTTTACCCCCAACTTATCCTCTACCACACCGTACTTACAGAGTGTACCTTGTACATAAAATGAGTAGCCAACCAGGAAAATGTGCTGGACCATTTGAGTTGAAATCTTAGGTGCCTCTTCTTATCCACAGGAAATACATATACTGGCAATGGAGTCTGTGGGATTTGCACTAACTGAGCTTTCACATGGTCATCAGAAACAGTCATTGTTAGTCCAGGGTCTAAAAATGACCCAGCTTCTTCTCTTTGCATGGTTTCTTTGGCAGAAGTCCCAGCCAGTTTACCAGCTATTAGGATTTCTGGGAGTTGAAGGCCAAAAACATCTGGGGACCCCAGGTTGAGAAGCACTGATCTAGATCCTTTGTTATCAGCTAGTTTATTTAAACTTTGGTTGTAATGTGGGTTGTAGGCTGTATGTATATGAGTCAAGAGTGTTTGTCAAATGTTTTGATACAGCTGATGGGCTAATCAATAAAACGTACTACTACCTTAGTGAAAGCCATTAAGCATTAAGCACCAATAAATCCTTGTCCATTGAATTGCAGTGCTGGTGGCTTGGGTCCTTATAGACTAAATCTTGGTGTTTACCTTACTAAAAGTCAACTATACGCCTCACATGGACTTATGGTAACCCCATTTATTCCATAGGGTTTACTTAGGTAAGGAAGACTTAGGTGTATCTACATGAGGCATGGGCAATTTGGGCCATCCAGGTGTTTTGGACTGCAACTCCCACAATTCCTAACACCTCACTACCTCTGAGGATGCTTGCCATAGATGCAGGCGAAACGTCAGGAGAAATGCCTCTAGAACATGGCCCTATAGCCCGAAAAAACCAACAAGAACCTAGCCGGTAGGCTGTTAGGAATTGTGGGAGTTGTAGTCCAAAACACCTTGAGGGCCCAGGTTTGTCCATGACTGATCTACACTCTAGAATTAATGCACTTTGACATTACTTTTGACATCACTTGGACATATAGCCTACATCTCCTGGTAGTCATTGGCCCATCCAAATACTAACTAGTAACAAGCCTGCTTAGTCTCCGGTGTGAGATGGAATCTGGTGCCTTTAATATATTTACATGTTTATAAACGATGTCGTTTATCACTGTTTTGTGTGTGCCTGTTAATCATATACACATGTTTGTAAATACATGTGTATTATGATTAACAGGCACACACACAACAGTGATAAACGACATCATTCTGGGATTTGGAACAAATTGTCAAAGGCGCTGTTTATTTGTTAGGTCACCAATATGTGTATGCCAACACACATGCGTGTGCACAAATACACACATAGCTCTGTATTCAGTATCAATGGGTGCATCCACGCTGTAGAACGAATGTAATTTGCCACCACTTTGAACTGAATGCTATGAAACCCTGGGATTTGCAGCTTGGTGAGGCATCAGTACTATTTGGTGGATAAGACCTTGCAGAAAAAAAATCAAAAACTTTCATGATTCCATCCTATTGGGCCAGGGCAGTTCAAGGGGTATTAAACTGGATTAATTACCCAGTGTAGACACACCCTGAGTCACTTCATAGGCAGACGGTTTGTTTGTTTGTATGTGTGTGTGTGTACACGTATGTGAATGTGTATATATAAGGTAAAGGTTTTCCCCAGTCCAGTCATGTCCGACTCGGGAGGTTGGTGTTCACTTCCATTTCTAAACTGAAGAGCCGGCGTTGTCTGTAGACACCTCCAAGGTCCATTGGAGCCCCTGGTGGTGCAGTGGGTTAAACCTCTGTGCCGGCAGGACTGAAGACTGACAGGTCACAGGTTTGAATCCGGGGAGAGGCGGATAAGCTCCCTCTATCAGCTCCAGCTCCTCATACGGGGACATGAGAGAAGCCTCCTACAAGGATGATA